TGTTAGTTACTTTTCTAATTTGATTTTCATCACTCAAATTTACGAAATCAATATTTTTGTCATCGATTTAATTAATTGTCAATCGGCTAAGTTGAAAGAATATTGATATAAAAAAACAAAAAAAACCTAGGCTTTCAAATTATATACCATATGAGCCTATTGAAATAAGACCGAAAAACATAGTCTATTTTAATTTTGAGAAAATTTTAGAAATAGCAAACATAATAAAGCTCTAATAACTGCGCTCCATAGCTATAGTTCTGTTTGATATGGAGGCTGTGGTTTGTATATTTCTGCACGTTTGTATATTTCGCTTGTGAATATACCAATAGGATAAATATATACAAATTATGTATTTATACATTTATGAATTTTTCAGAACTCCATTTATATATTTCGCTTGTCGATATACAAACAAGGTAATTTATTATAAATAATAAATCGTATACAAATAACTAGGGTAAACATATACACAATTCTAGATTTTTACTATTAGGAACCGAATTATACAAATTCTAGATTTATACAAATTATGCGAATTATACAAATCAGGTCAATAGCAAGAATTGAAAAAATTATAGCCGCGAATTACAATTTTCTAAAACTATAGCTATATCACCTAATACAGGCTAAATATTTACTATTATGTATAATTTTCCCATTAATTTTTAACGTATTAGCTTGAGTCGGGAGAGCGAAAGTATAAAATTTTTGCACTTTTGACCTTATTTTGTGCTAATTTTTAGTTTTTGTGTTCGAGATAAATAACTTTCTGATAACACATATATATACATATATTGCACTTATGTCCTTATTTTGTGCTAATTTTTAATTTTTGTGTTCAAGATAAATAGCTTTCTGATAACACATATATATACATATATTGCACTTTTGTCCTTATTTTGTGCTAATTTTTAATTTTTGTGTTCAAGATAAATTATTTTCTGATATATATATATACATACTTGCATTATAATATCCGCAACTTATGCCTTACATGACTTTTCTCCTTTACAGAATATATATTTTACTAGATATAAATTCGACCGTTGAAGAACAAAAATTGAAAACTCGCTTATTAAATGATAATTCTTGCAATTTCAGTTCATAAAAAATATAAACAAAAATTACTATATTATTGAGTATATGACTATAACAAATGTATCCAGTATCCACTGCTACCTATGAAAAAGATTAGGGAAAAGGGTCAAAAACACCCCTTAATTTTGTTTTATTGGTTGACTATGCCCTTACCGTTAAAGTGAAGTTAGTTTTTTCCCTACCGTTACTAATTTCACCATATATATACCCCTCTTTTGACGGAAAGCCCCAAATCAACTCAAATTGTTCAATTTTGATTAAAATAACCCGATTTTCTCTTTTCATTCAATTGTATTAATTTTTTTTGAGCTATTAAAAATATTCCAAAAAAATAATAATTACATAAATAAATTTTAAAAAGAATATATTTACATAAATAAATTTTAAAAAGAAAAAACCAATGAAAATTGGGGGAAAATAAGGCTCTTGTTTTTTTTTTATTATTACGTATTACATAATTAAATTTAAAAAGAGAAAACCAACAAAAATTGAAGAAAAATCTATATATATAATAAAGCTAGATATAGGCTATGACCTCTATTCTTACTTATATATATAAAATAAAGCTAGATATAGACAAAGTGACGTGACACCTCTCTATGATCTCTATTCATATTTAATTTTTTTCTCCTTTTTTGGGGGCATTTTTATGTTTTTCTCATCATTTTTAATTTAGTTATAATTTATATGTAATTAATGTTTTGTTGTAAATATATTATATTAATGTGGATGTCCATAACTTCAAGGTGTAATTTCACCATTATATGTAATAATACTCGCACCTTCACCATCTCCTCATTTATCTTCTACACCCCTTGATCTTCCCTACATTCTCAAAAATTAATATCATGTTTATTGTTATCCCTTGATCTTCCCTACATTCTCAAAAATTAATATCATGGTTATTGTTATATCTTTGTATGCCTTTTTATAACAATATAAATAGAGGTCTTGAGATTGTGTTATGCACTTGAAGATTTGAAAAACACTTGATTATACTTGGAAGAATAAGAAAACTCTCTCTTGTCTCTCTACATTTCTTGTCTTTTTTCTCACTTATGTTATTACTCTTTTCAGTTTTGTTTTAATACATGTTTTCATTCTTGAAAAGTTACATCTAATGGTATTTACCTTCATAAAAATAAATGTATTGATACTTTTATGCCTATCTTAGTGGGGGTTCGGGCGAACCCAATAGCTTTTCCATAAACCCTCTACTTGTATTAAAAAATTAAATAAATATATATGTATTTTAACTTGTGAACCCCTTAACAAAACTAATTGATGGCTTAGTGGTAAGGAAGGGGTCTTGGGAATGCTTTCCCATGCTAGAGTTGTGGGTTTGAACCTCTTCGGCTATTTATGCAAACCTCACAAATAAAAATTAATTAAAAAAATATAAGATCAACAATTAGAAAAAGCAAAAAAAAAAAAAGAAGAGAAGTTCCACTCATCTTAAAATAAAAAAGATTGCTATTTATGCAAATTTCACAAATAAATTTAAAAAATATATAAGATTAACAATTAGAAAAAGCCAAAAAAAAAAAAAGTTCCACTCATCTTAAAATAAAATAAAAATGCAAGCAAGTTAATACTACTGACCAATTCTAAACTGAAACCGTGTAAGCTAAAGATTACTAGTCATAGCTACTCTTTTCCAAGTCATAGAAACAATGGTCTCTTCTACTTATTTGTATCTGAGCTAGCTCTCAACTTTCACCATGCATGACTTAGCCAAAATGTGGGAAGTCCTTTTAATAGACTCTAGATAGTCATCAAATAAATACACAAACGTCATAGGTTATATATAATTGGGAGAATGCGTACCAATCAATTTTGTCACTATGTTCATTTAGACATTTATTGATTTGGTCAAAACTGAAGAGGAGGCTTTACTAGCTTGTGGTCTAACAAGCGTGAAAAGTCCTCTTTCTTTAAGAATCAAACTAGAAGTAATATTTTAAACCATTTGTTATTCTTGAAAAACTTTGACTTTTCTTTCTGCAGTTATGAGGTATGGTTTTATTTTAATTATAGAAAAGTTATAGTTATATATCTTGCACAACCACAACTGCTTCTTGTCCAGCTCTCATATTACTGTCTACTAGAGTTTTTCAAATGCATAATCCAAGATGCAGATTCCTAATTATTTTCATTCAACTTGTTTCCATCATTAGCTTTTGCCACTATGTAATTGGAATAAGAGGTGAAGATAATAACACTAGTGCTGTAAAGGTGGATGTGGGCATAATTCTTGATCTGGAAACAGATGTGGGAAAAGTAATGCACATATCTATCTTACTAGCTCTTGCGGATTATCATGCCAACACTAGTCGCGGTGCCATAAGGATAGTTCCTCATATCAGGGATTCAAAGAAAGATGATGTTGAAGCAGCATCAGCTGGTAAAATTCAGCTCTAAGCTTTACCTATGTTAAACTAGCATTATCTCTCTCTCTTTGCTTCAAAAGATTCACTTTTTCTCTAAGATATTACTTTTCCCTTTAGTTTTTCTATTTTGAAAGAGATGTTCAGACAATTACTTATAAGTCTGATTGTGTATGTGCAGCCATATACTTGCTAAAGGATGTCCAAGTGCAAGCTATCTTTGGGCCACAAATGTCTACACAAACTGATTTTGTGATCGACTTGGGGAACAGAGTTAGAGTTCCTATAATATCTCCAGCAACTAGTCCTTCACTTTCAGTCAAGGAAAATCCCTTCTTCATCAGAGGAGCACTTCCTTCTTCCAGTCAGACTAAAGCCATTGCAGCAATTGTTAAAAACTATAATTGGAGGGAGGTTGTAGTAATCTATGAGGAAAGCCCCTATGGAACCGGGATACTTCCATATTTGACTGATGCCTTGCTGGAAATCAATACTTTAGTCTCCTATAGAAGTGGTATTTCTCCTTCAGCCAATGATGATCAAATCCTCAGGGAGCTATACAAGTTGAAGACAATGCAGACCAGGGTGTTCATTGTGCACTTGCAAGAAAATCTTGCCTCCCGCCTTTTCCTCAAGGCCAAAGAAGCCGGGATGATGAACAGTGGATATGCATGGATCATCACTGATGTGCTGACGAGTCTTCTGGACCTGGTAGATACTTCAGTAATTGAGTCATCAATGCAAGGTGTTCTGGGTGTAAAATCTTATGTTCCAAGATCAAATGAGCTTGACATGTTCACCAAGAGATGGAGAAAGAGATTTCGTCAAGAGTATCCAGACATGGACCAAGTAGAACTCAATGTTTTCGGGCTATGGGCATATGATAGCATCACCTTATTAGCAGAAGCAGTAGAGAAAGTGGGCACTACTGCTATCCCAAAATTAAAGAAACCAGACACTAGAGAGAACTTAACAGACCTAGATGCACTTAGAACCTCAGAAGTGGGATCTCTGCTCATTGACTCTATGCAAAACACAGAGCTAAAACCAGGACTAAGTGGTGATTTCCGTATCATTGATAGAGAACTGCAGCCGTACCCATATCAGATTGTGAATATAATCGGGAAAGGAGAGAAAGTCGTTGGATTCTGGACAGAGAAGGATGGCATTTCGCATAAACTGAAGATGAAT